GCACCTGACCCTGACTGAGGAGCCATCCCCGTGTCGGGAGGAGAGGACTTAGCACCTTTCTGAGCCTTCTTTAGGTTGGAAGCAGTCGTCTTTGCCAGGCGTTCTTGAGTGAGATTCATCTTATCTGCAAAGAAACAACAAAAAACAATCAACATACAGAAAAAATGACTATGTCATGCATACAAAGAAAATCATATTGTAAAAGCGACTACCAAGATATGTTGCAGGGTTCTCGCTCTCGAGGAGCTCCTTGACGTATATCAAGCCCAATTCATAAATCTCCTTCCCGTCTTTGTCAAATACCGACTTCTAACCTCTGTCCGCATGCTGGATAGGAGGGAACCCCATAACAAACACACAAAGGCGATCAAAGCTGGTCTGGTCCTCGGCACTGAGTTGATCATTTTTCCACACATAGACATCAGTCTCCCTCTCGTAATGCCTATTATTCCAATGAAAATGGAACTCGGGAACTAGGTTGTTCGCATGCTTCCCCTTCTTGTTGAGAACGGGGGGGCACTCTCATCATATGCTGGAGCAACCCTGAAGACATTCAACAATGACCTCTCAGAGACAGGCTGAATAAGCATATGTTTCACTTTGAAAAATGAACGGACTTCAAGTATGTCTTTAAGAGTTTGTCGTTCGCCTGCTTCAAAGAAACCCAACCATATTGGCCGCCAATAGTTTGCCTCTGAAAATGGAAGCAGTAGAAGAATAGATGGATGTTAGCCCTAATTCCCAGATGGACGCACACGATCTCGAAAGCCCGCATGAAGGCGACCGAGTTCAGATACAGCTGGGGTGGAGCAAAATGGAGATTCCCGAAGACCGCCACTTTGAAATCCGAGAAGGGAAGCCAAAAACCCATCTCCCTGAACGAGATATCATACATAGGAAACCGACGAGCTTCAAACTCCGAGCAGATCCGACTTTTCTTATTGGGGATGTATATCGCCCATTGCTCCCTGACACCCTCGCGGTCCATCTTTGGGTCCACCGATGTAAAGATATCATCAGGATACTCGACAAATTGAGAAAAGTGCTTCAGCAGACCCGGTGCGACCCAAGCCAATGGACCCTCCTCGACCACAGGCTCACTTTGACCTACTCGGGAACCAAGAGCCATCTCCACATCCCCCTCTACAGCCTGTTTCTCGGACAACCCCGACTCCAGCGCACCCGGAGCGGACTCGTACGCCACATAAGTGCTCGTCTCGCTGGAGGTGTCCTCGATGGATCTTTGGGAAGAACCACTAGGCTCATTGAGAAACTCATCATTGGCGCTAATAGTCATCATACCTGAAAAGCAGAGGATAAAAGTGAGTTCGACGTCAACATCAAATCCACTCTTCCACAACTAATCAAGTGAAAGGGCGCCAAGAAACGATGACCTTATCCCCGACTAGAGCCCTCACTTAAGCGACTACTAGATGATCTCCCTTCCCAAACCAAGCCAGCTGGATTCATGTAAAAATTTCCTACATTCGCCTGACACCACTGAGGTTCCAAAAACTCTCTTGGGGAGGGCACTTGGTATCCTCTACGACCTTACCCTCCAGAACCACCATCTCCAGCCAACATTTTTCCAGAATTTCTAAGAAATCAATAACCCTAAACCCTAATTGCATGCATTTTCTAAGGAAAAACCTTAAAATCTAAACTATAACGGAAGTGATAATCACAAAAACAAGGAGAATCAAGGAAAGCTTACTGGATTAGGTGAAGGAACGACGAGAATAGACGGCAGCGAACGGCGGAACAAACAAAAATCTTAGAAACAGATGAAGTCGAGCATAAACAAATGAAGTCGATCAGGTACAAATGAAGTCGGGCAAGAACGGAGGTATCGAGCAGCTGAAATACAGACGCAAAGTATATATGGAGCTCTCCTCCCTCTTTTTATAGGGTGAGCTCACCGACACGTAGGCGAACACGCACCTAGGAAGCTCTAAAGGGCATCATCATTATGCCCTAACCCCTAGGCCAACCATCATCACACATATCTGATAACACGTGGCTCGATACATGCGAAGCACGCAACCTCTACATATTTCTCTCCCCAGTAACTAAACACCGAGAAAATTTCTAAACTCCTCGCACAAAATTGCTCCTCAAAATGAATCGCTCTATTGTTCCCCTCCCCGCGAGGCAAACACGACGAACATCATTTATACCCCTCAAGCAATGTTGACCAAGATGCATCTCTGTTTTGCAGGCTGATTCTAAGTCATCACTCTTGTGCCCAGAAGCAACGACTTAGGGGCTTCTGTTCTGGACTGGCCCGATGACTATAAGTGGCCTAATTCGCTCTTGCCCTTGGCACGACCCGATGGCAGCGGCCCAGCGCTCTGGTCGACCACGACACTGGTCATCCAACCAATTATATTCGACATACACACCTGACCAGATCAGTGAATGTCTCCCGTCATCCCGACACGATTCGGATAGAAACCCAAGAAACGACCAAAACGGTCATCTGCTTGTAATCCTCCTCCTCGAGACAAACGACTACTTACGAGCATACCTGCCCGTTTTGAATCAGTCCTAGCAATTACCTATTTTTGCGGACCCGTATATCTAGGCCTAAAAATAAGAACCAATGGCTACGCGTCAGGGGAACATTATATAAACCCTCACACATGTGAGGTCCATTTATCTAATATTCATCTCTGAAACCCTAATACTTTGCTTGTATCTCTTTGCTCCCACACTTACTTAATCGTCGGAGTTCCTTACAGGTACAACCTTTATTTTCTCCTCAACTTTCTAGCCAGTCAAAGATCATCCTCCGGCCAGCTTGCAGGTTCTGATCAACCGGTAAGATCAAATCCAAATATAAATTTAACCTAACAATTAGGTAGACCGGAGATGGCACGAATCAAACAGATATAATAGATCAAAGAAAGAGACAATGTAGACCTGGTATGAACGAAGTAGATCAGAGAGGAACCTTGTAGATCTCAAAGGGTAATACTTCACATATGAATGTTGAGAATGATATCTAAAACGTAACAGGAGGATAACTGAAATAGGGGGTTTACTCCGATGGTAAGGTTCACTACGATGATGAGGATCACAATGATAATGAGTTTCACTGAATAAAAACTGAGACATATTTAAAATGGTGATTTGATAAATACAAGAAGAGATCTAACAGTGGAAGGGTTTCGTGTGACATATACAAAGCATTTTAAAGTGCAATGTTTGTCTTTTAGAAAGAAAAAAATACATATAATTAATTAAAAAATAGTCTACAATTTTATAAAAAAAGTCTTCAATAAAAATTTAAAAATTATTAAAATAAAAATAAATAAATTAGTACATTAGAGTAAAAATAGGTACATGGAAAAAAATAGAAAGTGAAAATAGGTTAAAATAATTAGAGTTAAATATTTGATCAAAAATAAATTTAGATTTAAATAGTATGAAAAAAATTTTTACGCAGAAAAAGAAGTTAAAATAGGTATAACTAAAAAAAGATGGAAAGTGAAATTTACGATATGAGTGTGAACTTGACTAAAATATATAAATAGTGGCGGTTGAAATCGCTGAAATATTAATCACTTATGTCATTTAGAAAAATCGACACAATTTTAGATAAATTATGACAGTTTAATGTTGTAGATGAATTTCTAAGGTCTCTGATAGAAACCCCAAGCATGAGAACGAAAACCTTAGATCTAAGTCCAACTCTAAGTAAAAGATAGTAACATCAAGTCCGTGGATCAAGATTAAACATTTTTTAGGGTTTTGATCTTTATTAATGGATCTTGTCTTTTAAAGGCAAAAAGTGCAAGATAATAAAAGCAAAATAAAGATGACACGAATGTAAATGTATTGAAATGTAAATTACTTAAAACATATAAAAATAGCATAAATTAAATTAAATTAATGTAAAGTGCATAAAGTAAAAGTTAGCACAATAATATGGAGAGTTAATGTTAGTGTTATAAGTTAATCGATCGATTCAGGATAATTTAGCATTATGTTAAGCAATCGTAATTAGATTTATGTAAAAGTCAGAACTATGAGACAGAACAATAGCAATTTATGTGTGTCATACTCCAAATTTATCCGTCTCATTTTTAAAACATTCAAATTATTTTTAAATTTGATTTCATAAATTTTTTGGGTTTTACTAATATTTGATTTTAAGAATAATTTATTTTACTTATTTAAACTATATAATAATTTATATTTTAAAAATAGCAAAATATGTTCACACCCTTCATATCCTTCGATGTGTTTTTTTATCTCAAATAGTATGACATAGTACAATTGATAAGGAAGTAGAGCTTGTAAGCATAAGATCATGGATTTGAATCTCACTTGGTGTATTTTAGATTATTTTTTTTCTTTAGTTTATTTATGTCAATTTGTATCATAATTATTTAGAATCACTCATAATTCCACACACTTTCTTTTCAAAAACTTTTGGTGCAAAATTTTTTTAGTGTTATTGTCTTATTTTAACCAATAATTTAAATATAAAGTCTCTCGTTGATTTTCAATTTTTATATCTTTTTAATTTGTTTTAAACACCTCATAATAAATGTGTGATCTAATGGTAGTTTATTTTCAATTTCACATCTAACATACATTGATATAAATCCTGCAATTTTCACACACGTAGGGTACGTATTTCCACATCACTACACCAATTTCTTACCAAAAAAACCCTTTTGTATATTTTTGGACAAAATTCTATTTTTAAGTCTCACTTTTATACAAATATTTCCACCATTTTTTCTTCAAAATTACTAACATTCATTACCACACAAAATTATGAAGATTCTTTTGACAACACCAATCTCAAATCTAAAATAAACTCATCACCATTATTATTTTTCACTAACAGCTAATACACAAATTTCCAACCAATTTTTTATCACAAAACCTTTAACACTATAACTCTAACATGTAATTATGTAAATAAACAATTTTGCAATTAACATCAAAATCAATTCAATAGCCAAATTTACCAAGACAACATCAACATGTATCATAACCAAATTCAAACCATCTTCTTCAACAATTACCACACGCGATTCCGCCGACAAACTGCAGCCACTGATCCAAGATCGCAATACACAACCACCAATCTTCGAAGCCCGTTTACACTAGCCTCCACTAACGACGTCGTCACCCTCAGTCCCAGCGCCGCGAACCCCAGAATCCGCCGCGCCGTCAAGATCTCTCCGGATGCAGATCCCGTCGCCGGCCGGTTACTCAACCGTGAGCACTGGTTTCGACGGTACACCCTTTTTTTCTATTATTTGATTTATATGCTGCAATTTTTATGATTTAGAAGTTAAAAAGTTGAAGCTTGTTAGATCTGTTTGTGAAGAAGACTAGAATGGAAAAATGGTATATAGTGCTTTTAACGTGTATTGCTTATAGTGGTTTTTTTTTTGTTTGTCAACTGCTAGGTGTCATGTAACTATTGGTTAATTGCATAGTTTTGAAAAATCTTTGAATGCTGATGGTCTAAGGGTGGCGGTACCCCATATTATATATTATTACTTTACCTTTTTTTTGTTTATTAGTCATTATAATATTATAATTAGATTAGAAGTTTATTGTATTTTGATTATTATTATTATTATTATCTAATTTAGCTTTTAAAATATTTTCTACACCACTAACTATAAATCCAATAACAAAAAAGACAAAGACAATTCACTAATTAAAATTCACAAGTAAATCAGAGTTAAATTTCTTCGCTTATAGCGATTAAATTCAAATAAAAATTAATTCCTTATTGATTAAGTCAATTTCTTCGTCTTGAATAAATTAATTATGATGATAATTAATTTTTTATCAAGACTCAATTCAAATAATCAATTACTTCGTCTAGAGTGATTTAATTCTAATGAAGATCAACTCTTCTTCAATCTATCGAATCAAAATATTAAAATAGCTAACCAATTAAAATATTTTTTACTAACTTAATAAAAACTACAAGATATTTTTAAAAAAGGATTAAATGGCATTGCATTCAAACATAAATGCGAACTGTGTCTACGATCACTCTATTACAAAATCCAGACAAGGTTCAAAGATAATTCGAAAGTAATTCTACGCAATTCTATAAAAAAACATCAATCAAACACTACGAAATTGAACTCTGATTATTTGCAAGGAGATACGTAGACACGCGGTTAAAACCAAGGTGAGTCTCTCAACTAAAAAATTAAATATTTTCTCAAGTACATTAACATTAACATACAGTTAAGTAGAAATTCCCAATTTACCTCTTAGACCTAAAAGTGGAGCCCCTTGAGAACAAGGGAGATGAAGGGTGTGTAGCAACCGGTTTTTTAATTAAGAGTCGTCACTATTAGTTTTTATCCTAAGGAAGGGAACCTAACAGAAAACCCTAATTTGCGGACAGAGATTCTAGGTGACGGACTCAATTAGACGAAAGGAAGGTGTTAGGCACCTTTCATCCACCTTGTTCGCAAGGATATTAAGCTCTAGGTTTAAGTTTGGGGTAAATAGTTTTAAGTTTTAATTAGTAAGACTCGCCACGATTTTAGATCGCGTGCCTACGTATCCTCTTATGATGAATCAGAGTCTCAATTCGTAGTTCGTAGGGATTGGTGTATTTTAGAGGGTTTGCAATCATATTTTGAATCACTTCGCACTCGATCGGGAGTAGTGATTGCGGAGATTTTGACTGAGCACACAATAAGCTAAAATCGGTTTGTAACCCTATTTGCAAAAATATTGTTGATTAGTTTAATTTGCTCGCGAAAATAGTTTGAAGTTTGTTTGTGTTTTTTATTGTATTAATTGCGAAAAGTCTTGATTAGTGCATGATAAAAAATATTTAATGCAATATACGTGAAAATAATATATATACATGGGTTTTGAAAATAATTTATATGTTAAAACAATAATAGTATTTACATACAATAATTAATAATATACACAAATTAATAATAATAATAATAATAGTTATAATTATTATGGTAATATAGTATAATAATAATAATAGAAAATTATGATAATGAAAGTTAATAATAATAATAATAATAATTATAAGTGCAAAAAGAAATAAATAATGTACAAAATAATTATAATTTTAAATAGACCTGGGGGGGTGAATTTTCAATTGACTGGTAAATGACGGGAGGTGATGAAAATAAGTTAGATTTAAGCCCAATACATAGGCTGTGAAGATGTGAAAAACACAAGAAGGGGGGTTGAATTGTTAAAACTTGAAATCAAATGCAGACAACACGTTATTTTTATCCTGGTCCGTTTGATCTCAAACTACTCCAGTCCACCCATCAAGGTGATTTCGCCTCTCTCCAACGAGGTCTTAATCCACTATATTCAACTGAATACAAAACTGCTTTAACAACTGCTAAAGCCTTCTTGAGTCTAAACCACAGACCAGTTTCTCAAGGAAATTCTTTTACAGAAAAATGAACAAATGTGTGTTGAATGTTTTCTAGAAAAACGATATATCACAATTGTGATAATACACAAAATAAAGCTTAGATGATAATAGATTGCTAGAGCTATAGAATAATCAATTGAGAGCTTTTAGCAAAAGTGAGAACGAGCTTGATGATGATTGCTTTTGGCGTGTATATGCGTGTAAGGTACTGTAGAGCATTAGCCAATTCACTTCTCACTGATTTGTTTAAATACTTCTTGGAATAGATATGTTGATGCCAATAATTCCATTTCAATGCTCATTACGTTCTTTCCATATTGAGAAGATCTTTGTCTTGGAATAAAGCCGTATGTAATTAATCTGCCTTGAATGCAGTAACGTTAACACTTCAAAATGTTCTGCTTGATGAAGATCAGAGCGTTCTTTGGCTTTTAGCTTATTATGATTGCTTCTGAGTGCTGATGACATTGATAAGATCTTGATCAGAGTCAGAGTATGTTGAGCGCAGATTATGTTCATCAGACTTCAGCGTAGCGCATGTATTGATCTTCTGATGTTCTGATGTTGATACTGATGTTCTGATGTTGATACTGATGTTCTGATGCTGATTCCATCAGAGTTTCCTGTAAACACACAACATAATTTTAAGTAGCATCTATATCTTATATAACACTCATAATTCATTTAATCTTGTATTTTGTTATCATCAAAACTCTAACTGAGGGTTGTAGAATCAAATTATGTTCTAACAATCTCCCCATTTTTGATGATGACAAAAACTAGATTTTTTTCAATTAAAATAAAGTGATGAAAGTATCAGAGTTTAAGAATAGAGAGGAAACAGTATCAGAGCTAATCAGATAATGAGAAAAAGTTATCAGAGCTGAGAGGGTAAGAAATAAAAAGTATCAGAGTAAAGATGAGAAAAACTCCCCCTGGGTTGATTATTTCCTTTTGATTCCTTGAGTATCAGAACTTTATTGAACCTTTCTTTAAGCATCAGAATTTTGATTTATCAGAGTTCTTCAGATTCTCGTACCTGTAAGCTTTTCAGAACAAAGAACTTCAAATATATAAGAATGTTATAATGTTTGAGACTTTTGTCTCAGTAGACCGTTATTGAAAAATATCATTCTTTCTCCCCCTTTTTGTCAGCGATCAAAAAACATAAGTAATCAGAGTTTAAAATGATCAGAGTAAAAACACGTTTGTATTAAAACAGAAGCAATGAGAGTTTAGAACACGTTTGTATTAAAATCTAAGAAGAAGGAGGAAGTCGTGTGAACAACGCTTCCAACATGCTCTTGATTTGTTCGCTGGTTTCGGTTTGCTTTGCTACCATGTTTGCAATAGAATCAATCTTGATATCCTACTTGTCCATGCGTTCATTCATCAGCATATCTGATCTCTTCAGATCCTCCAGAGTCTGCCTATCAACAGAGGAAGTTTGAGGATCTTCATATACAGTCTGCTTCTCAGAGCTTTCTGTAGCTTCTTCTGCTTGACCCAAGTCTTCAGCTTGAATAACCTGTTCTTCTGCAGCTTGAACTTGAGATGCTGGACACTTTTCAGACCAAGGCTCATTGTCCAGATGCAGAACTTCTTCCTTCAGCAACTTGCTCAGAACTGGACCTTCCATTTCCTTCAGCAGATTGCTGAAGTTCTGCTGAACCTGTCCATAGCTCTGGTCTTGTAGCTTGAAAGTTTCAGCGCATACCCATCTTCTGAATTGAGTCCAGAGATGATATGATACAGCGGGATCAACAACTTCCAGAGTTGCTTGTCTCAAAGAAGATATCCATTTCTGCATATCTGATTCAAAGTTCATCATGCTGGAACCAACATCTGGTTGTTTAGGTTTGGGGATGGCAGTTTTCTGGTTTATTGCAGCAAGGCGTTTAAGGATTGTTAGATCAATGACTGTCTTGCTGTGGTTTTCTGTATTTTTCTTAGGTGATGGAGTAGGAGAATCAGAAATAACGATTGGACTATGTGGGGTGTTTGGAGGAGTTGTTTCTGGTGAGGATGGTAGTTGAGGTATGTTCACAGTTGTACCACAAGGCAATTGAATGGCCAAGGGTTGTGGTTCAGGAGACTCAGAGGTTTGAGCCTCAGATTTTTGTGTCTCAGGTTGTGGAGTTTGTGCATGTGGAGGAGATGGTGGATTATTTTCTGGTTGAGGAGAGGATGGTTGTGGAATTTCTGGTTCTGGTATTGGAGTGAGGGGAGTTTCTGGAATGGGTGAAAGTGGAATGTCAGGTTGTGGAGAAATGGGAATTTCAGAGTTTGGATTTGGATTTTCTGGTTGTGTATTTGGATTGTTTGTTTCAGGAGCGGAAGTATGTTGTTCAATATCAGACAGAACTTGTGCAAGTTCTGGTTCTGGAATGGTTGTAGTGTTTGGATTTTGTGGTTTGGAGCGGGATCTTCTGAGAGTTAATGACTCAGAAAGGTCAAAGTCTTCAAAATATTCATAAGTTTAGGGAGTTGGGATATCAGATGGAATTGGAGTTGGAGTAGGAATGAATGTAGAACCAGCAGATGAATTTAAAACAGATACATAAATAGGATTACCTCTTTTCTTTGGAGTCTGTTGTGATGATCCTTCTGGAGCAGCTTTTCTCTTCTTAGTCTTCTTCAGAGCAACCTCTGGTGCCTTCTGCTGAAGATCTTGAATGTTTAGATTGGGAGCTGTTCCATCAGCTTTGCACGCATCCAAGTATCTCAGAACTATTTGAGGCTTGGAGTCAATCTCTGAGAACATAGGGAAGTCGTCCAGAGGAATTCTTCTGTTGGAGATTTCAGCAAAAGGAGTAACGCTGGGCTCCTTCTTAATGTTCTCTATCAGCTTCATCTTCTTTAGATTCTTGGCATTCAGCTGCTTGCCAACAGATGGTTCCAGGGTGCTGATCTCTTGTGCCTCTGTCAAGTGCTCAATCAGCCTATTCTCAGTCAGAATATCTGATATCAATCTGCCCAAGGGTATCCAGTCCCTTTTAGTACGTTCTTCTTCTCTAGTCTCCTTGACGCTGGTTCTCAGATGGTTAGACAGAAGATGAGCTAGATTAATCTTTACCTTCTGATTAATAAAATAGATCAGAAACTGCTGATCTATGTTTATGTAATCAGGAGAGCTTGTAGGCTTCCTGTGATTGAAACAGCCCAGAATAATCTTTGCCTAAATTTTGTGCTTATCTTTTAGATCCCTTATCTTGCTGGAGGGAAGCCCCGGCGTGAAAATCTGCCTTTCTATAACAGCAACATCTGAGCACCTTTCAGCCATGTCTATACAGCGAATACCACCACCATTGTATCCAATCAGACGAGCAATCAAATCTTCAGTTATCACAATCTTCTTCCCCGTGATGTAAGAAGTGACTTGGTGATTTGAGGAAGAGGCGTGAATCCAGAATTCCTTAACCAAAATAGGGAAAGTTGGACCCACCAACCTGTCAAAGTATCTCTCCCATCCTTGAGCTTGAAACTCTTTTGATAAATCAAAACCATTTTCCTTCAAACTGTTGAAATCCACAATAATCTCTGACAGAACTTCCAGGTTCTTGACTGCAGTGAGTAGCGTTTTAAAAGGAACCTCATATTGCTCAGCTGATGCATCTTTCTGGGAACCTGAAGAGATATTGCTGGAAGACGCCATTGTTCACACGAGGTTTTGAGAGAGAAAAAATTGAAAGGGTTTTCTTGAGCAGTAAGAACACAAACACAGATATCAGAAAAATTGATTGAAAACGAAAGTAAGGGTAAACGTTGTGAATGTGTGTTAGTGGTGTTTAAATAGATTTTGAAAAAGTTTTTGAAAACATAAACGCTTAAGAGAGAGAAATAAATCATGATTAATAGCATTAATTGATTTCTGATTTTAGGGGATTTCAGAAAGATGCTTAAACGGTTACCAGTGACATGTGTCTCAATGCAACCAATCAGCGCTTTGCCTTTTCAGAAGCGTGAACGCGTGTTCAGCCTCAGGAACCAGCTGATGACTGGATGACACTTGTTTGCTTTGAGTGAACATCACTTCTATCCTTGAACTGAAGAGCTCAGAGCTTCATGGATAGATCTGATACAATCTGCATTTCTAAAATTCTGAAAGAGGATTGATCAGAAGTTCAGATGGAAATAAGAATAATTCTGAAGGTTAATATATAAAATTAAAACAGTTTTATTCTGGACAGAGCTTCATGCTGAGATGTTTCAGAATGAAGTTGAACCTATCTTCAGAAAGTGGTTTTGTAAAGATATCAGCCCATTGATGGTCTGTATCAATAAATTTTAAGTTTAAAATGCCTTTCTGAATACAGTCCCTAATAAAATGATGTTTTATTTCTATATGCTTAGCCCTAGAATGCAAAATTGGATTTCTACTTAAGCAAATGGCAGAGGTGTTTTCACAGAGTATAGGAATGTTACTCTCATAAATCTGGAAGTCCTCAAGTTAACTTTTCATCCAGAGCATTTGTTTGCTGCATCCAGCTGCTGCTATGTATTCAGCTTCTGCTGTTGATAGAGCAATTGTGGATTGTCTTTTGCTGGACCATGAGATCAGATTTTCTCCCAGAAACTGGCAGCTTTCAGAAGTGCTTTTACGTTCAACTCTGTCTCCGGCAAAGTCAGCATAACAGTAACCTACAAAGCTGTAATCACCAGATTTTCTATAAAACAAACCCAGATTAGTAGTACCTTTCAGATACTTGAAAATTCTCTTAACAGCTGTTAAGTGGGATTCTCTAGGATCTGATTGGAATCTTGAACAAATGCATACACTGAATAAAATATCAGGCCTTGAGGCTGTAAGATAAAGAAGAGAATCAACCATACCTCTGTAGACTTTCTGTTCTACCTTTTTGCTTACCTCTTCTCTTTCCAGAATGCATGTGGGATGCATTGGAATCTTTGATGGCTTACATTCTGAGAGATCAAATTTCTTCAGAAGTTCTGACATATTTGCTCTGATGAATGTAAGTTCCTTCTGGGGTTTGATTGATCTGGATGCCCAGAAAGAATTTCAGTTCCCCCATTAGGCTCATCTCAAATTCTGCCTGCATACACTTAGCAAATTCTCTTCCCAGAGAAGGTTTAGTAGATCCAAATATAATATCATCAACATAGATCTGACAGACTAAAATTTCATTCTTAATTGTCTTACAGAATAAGGTTGTGTCCACCTTCCCTCTGGTTAATTCATTTTCTAACAGGAAGTTACTTAGTCTTTCATACCAAGCTCTGGGAGCTTGTTTCAGACCATACAGTGACTTCTTCAGTTTGAAAACATATTCTAGATTTTTTAAACTTTCAAAACCAGGGGGTTGGTGCACATATACCTCTTCTTTTATATATCCATTTAAGAATGCACTCTTGACATCCATCTGATACAGAGTGATGCCTTTATTA